CATGAACGAATCGGCTAAGCTCCGCGATCCACATGGACTCTCATTCCCCTTTGTCTAGCTGATAGAGACCAGTAGAAAAAGGCAGGATGAAACAGTCAGATTGGTTCTTTTGGAGGTTTGCGGTCACAGGTGAATGATGAGGGAGCCATAAACTGACGAGTGAATCTTGTCGGACTGGACGAGCTGAGGGCTACTCACAGAATACTCTATTGCAAAACGCTCTGGCTGGGAATGATGGAGTGATTTTACTGCCTACCAAGTTACGAACCGATCCTTCCAGATAGGTCTGGCCATCGCATGTATCAGATAGGCCTTGTCTGGCGAACGGGGTCACTGACGCTTGATCACCATTGTCGTGGATGGGCGGTGCTTCATTTACCAGTATTTAGCCGCCAAAATCTATATATCAGACCATACCAGCACTAGGACCATGACCTTGGTCATTTCCTGAAGCGCCAGTGTTCGTTATTAACCACGTCACTCCTTCAGCCGAGCGCTGCAGTCTGCACTTATTGGGGCAGGGGGGCTGGGTTCAGGGTCAATATACGATGCACAGACCACCCGAGGGTGAGACACTTACTTGGCTTGAAATGAGGCTTTACTTATTCAGGGTGCACCAGTGCTGTGTGGTCTGAAACGCCCGAATGCTTCGGGTTGCCGCTGGCCCGCTCTGCCTTCTCCTGAATCAACTGCACCCAAAAAAGCGGTTTAGGGTTTTGGATTTCTGACCGAGTCTGCTCCATTCTAATTTCTATCTAGCGTCTGAAGCTCTGGGCTCTCGCTCTTTTCTCAATCATGTGTCCCCTAAGTCCTAACAGGCAGTGCTTTAAAAACGTGGAGTTATCTTATAGCGCACGGGACATAGCATCCCCTTCGTCAAAGTGGTTGGGGAAAGGCAGACGCTTCTTGTCAATCGAATGGAAACCACTTGCGAGGTTATGCTTGATATGTGACAGGTCTTGACGACAGTTTTTCCAAGGATTCGTAGAGAAAACAACAGGAAGGGCATCCATCACTATGCTCGTCATACTGATGCAGGAAAAGAGATATCTATCTCGGAATTTTTCCTATGGTTCAAGCTGTGCAGCATTCCACTGGTTAGAGCGGGTTACAGGCGAACGGAAAAGCATTTATCGATCGACCTGCGGTTGTATACTCCATAGCAAGGATCGAATCACCGTGCGCCCGAGAAGGAAGTCGATGCAACTAGTCATTTCCTCACCATATCCGGTGGCGTCACGGTGAACGGAGTCATCACCCATGCCATCGTCCCGGAACCCCCGTTCGGCAGCGTTGGGGACTCAGGGCATGTATACTACCATGGCGAGCACGGTTTCAAAGCTTTTACTCACTTCCAAGTCATTGCAAGGCCACTGCCTTAACCTTCCGGGCTTCATCATCCTTGCTGCCACTGTATTCAGCAGACCAGGTCATATATGTGTCCGTCAGAAACAATGTGGGAATCCGGCGATGTTAGTCTCTGGAGGACGAGGCGCACCTTGCTACAAGAGATTTGTAGCCAAGAACTCAGTTCATCTTCCGAAGTTTTTGGCTTGTCCATCGATTGTGGGATTAATCGATCATCGGATGGATCACCCATTTGGCATCCTTCATGGCGTGGACGCAACGGTGGACTCTATTTGGTCAGTTCTTACAATCTGAGACCTAGGGCGACTAGCTTGAAACACAGCGATAATTCCAGGAAATTGCAGGGTATGGACCTACCATGGTCGATCTCCTCATCTTGACTGAACGCGTCGATGGCCAGCGGTCGAGGTAGACTATAACGTGGACGCGTCCGCATCAGTAACGTCAGGTCTTTGATCAGTCCACCGAACCTGTTAATTAGTCGGTGGCTTCTTAGATAGTTGAGGTCAGAATGGGACAGATGCTCTCGAGCCTACTAGCGAATCTGGCAATCGTTAGGCTTTTTGAAGAGTAAACTAGTTGACTCAAGAACCTACCAGTCATCTTGGCATTAGTGACGAGAGACGGTGCGCATCGAACTCTCGTCCGTATTCAATCTTTCCTTGACTCTTCTCGAGAAGCCCTTTGAGCCAATCAAAATGTATTGGGTGGCTATGTTCGTCATGCAATCAGGTCACCCTTTCCTGTCGAACTCATTGAAGTAAAAGGTCATCCGCTCCATGAGCTATTTCTGCACGGAGGGATGCGCAGATACGTGGCTGAGCGAGTGGCAAATCTGAACCCGGTTGAGATACTTGACACATGCAATATTCTTCGCGGCATCTTCAATATCCGCAATTTTGGTGACAATTGCGAGACACCGTACTCCTAATTCCCGCATTGTCGGCGAGAGATGCTTTGCGACTGCTCTGACAACATGGCCGGCCACATTGACAGATCCTTTAAACAAGATGTGATCAAGCTTGCGTTCCATCAGGTAGTCATTTCCCCAGAAACCGCGGTGACGACTCGAATGGCACCAGGATTGATGTACTTGGGGATCAGACCAACCAGGAGATTCTGACGATGTTCGTCTGAATGGCCATGATCTCAGTGAAGGATGTCTCATATGCATGGCGGTTGGGATCTTTGTTTACAGTCTTGATGGTGTGGTCCTTATTACCCTCCACAGGCCGCCAAAAGCTACTTGATCTGCCCATTCTCTCCAGGCGAGCTCCTTGGTGCGGGCGGACCGGAAGTTCGCTTGCATAGCGTTATACGCCTCTTCGACCTCTACTTATGAGGTGTAGGGCCCCATACTAGTTGGGAGTACCGCGAGAAGTTTGTTCTTCTACCTCCCGAGCAGGACCATCTATATCAAATTGCAAAGGCGTGCATAGCTGACTATAGGCCCCCATGTGCCTGTTCCTAAGATCGTTGAAACGATCAGAAAAGAGTGGGTTCGATGAACCCGAGGCACGGCGTCATTAAAAAGATACCGCCAACTATCTCAAGATTTATTGATCAGACAGACGGGCTGTCAAATCCTCGTGCTTGTGCTTTTCTGTACCACTTATTTCAAGTGTTATACGCATGACCAAACTGTTATGGGGCGTCTCTGGACCGATCCGCCTCGGCTATGACCTACTGGAAACTTCGGACCAGGATGACGATCGATATGGAATTCGTTTCGCTGGATTATCACATGCTGTCCAATTGAATGACCATGGATGAGGTAGAGCATCCTAGTATGGCGGAATGATTAATGAAATATGTCTTTGGATGAACTACTGTTTCGGATGTCAAGTGCCATCTCAAGCCATGAACCCCAGACTATACACATGATCGGCTTAAGGGTGGATCCAATCCGGGGCTGTTATCATAGGAAAAGTCCAAAACGGCAATCTGACGAAGGGCGAATGAGTAGATAATATATCGCTCATCCAAGGGATTTCGAGTTCCCATCTCACATGGTGAAAGAGTGGTAGGAAGGAGAAGAACCTATGAAATATATTGGACCATTCGGAATGGAACTAAACCTTGCTATACCCGCCGTTCACTAGGTAGAAGTCACGCTTCATTGAGTCGTGACATGGCTCCCACAGTGCGAATAAATACAAGTGACCAAACTTAAGCAGGTCAAACACCCCTGCCGCTGTGCGCATTTCGAATCCGAGGGCTTTTCGTGGCAAATTACCTGTTCGAGGAAACCCACCCAGGGCTGCGTTATCGGAGATAGCTTTTAGAACAGAATGGACGATATGCTACAAGTAAGTGCAATACGGTTGGGTTGATGCTCATACTAGATATTGGCCTGGATGGCTAGGATATCACACAGGCAAAGCATACCGATCAGACTAGTAGGGTCCTACAGTAACTGTCCTACTTTCCTCGGCCAGATGAAAAAATGAGCTGGTAAGGTCGCTAGCAATGCGGTTATCTAGGTAGATTTATCTCTGTTATTGTCTTTCCTTGAAGCTATCCCCATGATCTTTAACGGTTGGTGACAGACTAGATCATTGCGAATTACGACAGTTTTGACAGCTCTGGTGTACCTCATCCGTAGTAATCTATGTACTGTCGATACGCCTCGCCCAGAACGCACGGTCACTTCAAGGCGACTATCTAGGAGGAATGCATGATAGGGGTCCCATGTTAACCCACTCATCGAAACCCCTTGTGTCGATTCTACATTAAAAAACCACATGCGGAGAAGGCACAAGATACAAGAAATCGAAGTAATGAAGACTTTAAAATGAAATTATTCGTTATGAAAGCCAAAGTCTGAAGCGGTAGAGTTATGTACACAAGAAATGACAGGAGTCGGAGCCAAGGCCAATCATAATCTGGTAGCCTAAAGTCCGACCAACCCAAGATAGGATTAGCGCAGTCATAGAGTGGCGGAGGAGTCATCTATGGTTGCCTGAGTTTTCTGGCGGTCAGAATTTTTGGCCTGTTCCGAATAATACGGAAAGGAGCCAGATAGGCCCGACGACTAGGCAGAATACGCTACGGGCTCAACCAACCCCCTTTCCTCTGCGGTGAATCAAGTCCTTATCATCAACTACCTAATCTACTTGGGGGCGTTGTCTGCTTCAGTGTTGTTTCTCAGTCAGTGTGTCTCATTACACTGTCCTTCTCTAGTCACTGTAAGAATTCTTTATAGACCATCCCCTCTCTCCAAACTCCCTTCGTCCCGGAAACGATCGCCGCTCCAGCTTTTCCCTCCCTTTTCCACATCCTCAACAAGAACCGCTCGGGTGCTATTACCGCGCCTCTCAATTCCCTACACCGCGGCGGTCACGATCAACATTTGAGAAGGGCCATCTACTGGTTATCTGTACAATAACGAATTTGTCGCTCCTTCTTGATCGCCATCTTTTGATTCGTTTCGATGGCTTGGAGACGGTACTGTTAGGAAGTTCGATTTCCCCGAGTGAGACGAGTTTTGCGGTCGGATCTTAGCGGCTCTCGTGCTATCCCTTCAACTTCGATCTTCGAGTCCTGCACCTTGGTATTGGAAGCACACTGCGAAAATTTGGACGTGTGCAACAGTGACCCCCTGGCTTTCCGCTCTGTGATCCTGGAACTCAATGATGGGACCTGCTGAGGCCGCCTCATCTCCCGTGTTTCCCTCACTGGATCCCATTGTCGTCGATGATGAGATGGAAAATCCCTATCAAAATACCGATTTAAGCTTTCTCGACTCTACGAGCCTACAGATGAACGAGGCCGCCGGTCAGGATTTCGACGATCTCTTCGCCCGTTCCCACTCCTCCCGCACTGTCACCGACTCGGAATCTGTGTGTTTGTCGCCCTCAGAACTTTCCATAAAGAGACACTTTCAGGAACACGATGCGCTGAGGCAACCCAAGATCGTTGCTTCAGACTCCCCTGCCGAATCCCTGGATAACTCGAGTCCCAGTTCTTCGTCGGATTCTCCGCGGAATCACATTCGAAATACCTCCGTGACCTCGACCACTTCCGTTACTCATAGCGATCACGCCAACATAATGCCATTTGGCTACGCAACTGAAGATTGGATCAATTCGGAGCTCGGCTCAATGAAGGAGGAGACATCGATGTTTGGCTTTGACCCTTCCTTGCCGGCCATGGAGGGTGTTTTCCCCGTCGAAACCGACCTCGAATCCAGCAACAAGGCGATGGACGCCGCTTTCGATTTTGAAAGCGCAGCCAGTAGCCCCAGTGCCCTGAAGACTGACTCGGCCGCTCAGCCAAAGATGCAGAAGCGACTGAAGTCTCAAATGCGGGGGACATCTCATTCCACCTCGAGGCAATCAGCTTCTCCGGTATGTACCCAGACTCTCATTCTTCCTCGTCCCTTTACTGATTCTCCTCGTAGCAGTTTCGCAATTCGACCTCTCCTTTCACAGTGGGCAAAATGCCCGGTCAGAGCAGGTCGTCATCAAGCCAATGGCCGGGACAATCACCGTCGTCGCTTTTGGAGGAAAGTTTTGGCGGCATCAACATGAATGGCGGATCTCCACTGAACGGAAACTTCAACTTTGCGTCGAATGGGTTTCCTTTCGGCATCCACTTTGCGCCCTCCCCCCCTCAGAACAATATGAAAGCGGAAACGACTCAGCGTCACGTCCTCACCGTTCATCCCACCTCACTAAAATCCCGTGTAGAAACCCAAATTCCCATCCGGTTGACTCTCTATCCAATGCCCTCGGGTGTCAAGAAATTACGACTGCCCACCCACACCATCTCGAAGCCGAAATTCCTTGCTCCTCCGTCTGCCGATCGTTCGGCTGATACCTTGCAACTGCATACGAGTCTTGTCTGCACTAGCGCGATGCAGGACCAGACGAAACTGAGAAAGGCATTTGCACGAGCAAGGGGCGAGACGCGGTACCGCACCTCGAGCTCTAGCCCGAATGCTACGGAAGAGTTACCAGAAGATGACAAGCCCTTGGATGGCGGGGAGGTGAAAATCTGTGCTGGATGCATACAGCGTGAACGGAAGCGCGCGTTTAGAAAGAAGCAGAGAAAACCCGAGGAAGACGAGTTGTTTCAAAAGGACGAGGAGAAGCGAGTCATCGTCTTCAACACCAACGAGATCAAAGATTGGGCGGAACCCTCCAAGCATGCCATGCCAGGCTATACTGATGCCCCTGCGCCAGTTATTCCCGCTGGAGCAATGCAGGTCGAGCTTCCAATGCGAATTGCATGCTACTGCAGGCACCAGAATGAAAAGCTCGGTTTCCAGGTCATTTTCACAGTCAAAGACCATATGGATAATGTCATTGCCCAGGCAATCACAAACTCCATCATGATCACGGACGATCACAAGACGCACGCTCCCCCGGCTCCTCCCGCCCCGGGCCCTTCTCCGTCTCTCCCTGACGGGACACAATTGCCCGGGGTAGGAGTCTTTCCGTCAGGCCCCCCCGTGGAAACCGCGAAGTCGTCAACCCCGTCCCAGCAGTCGTTCCGATCATCCTCGACTACAGATCTGCAAGGTCTTCAGCAAAGGTTCAACTCGCAGTATCAAATGCCGACAGGCTCCTTCGCTGTCACCGCTCAGAACGGCCAGAAGAACGCCACCGCAAACTCGCAAACATCTCGCAGTCTTTCACGACAGACTTCGCCGAATGACTTCCCAGGACCTATGACAAAGCGACGGAAACACAGCAATTCCGGCCGTCTTCCGTCCGAATTGACCATGACCAAGCTTGAGAACGGACAGTCATCCGCGGGCGGGACCAATTCAGGAGTCTTAGGGAACGAAGCTCCTTTCAATGCGGCGCGTGGTTTTGCGTCCCCGGCGGAGAGGCCGTTTGTGACGTCGTCGGCCATGTCGGGTCAGTTCGCCAACGGCCCACCGACGCCCAATAGCGGAGACAACAATCCTTTCTTCAATCCCAGCGCGACCCAGACCAGCTTGGATACATTCATTCAGCAGCAGTTGATGTCGGCGCCAAACTCGGCTCAGCCTAGCCGCCCTGGAACGCCTGGTAACTCAGCCCGTCACGGTTTTCAAGATCAGTCCCTCAACCTCTCATTGGGCTCAAGCACGTCCACTCCTGCTTGGCCTCCTCTCACAAATGCTGGTAACCGGCTGCCTTCTGTTATTCACAAGGTTGTCCCGGCGGAAGGCTCCATCACCGGAGGCACAGAAGTGACGCTGTTAGGAAGTGGTTTCTACCCTGGTATGGAGGTCGTCTTTGGTGATACCCTAGCCACAACGACGACGTTCTGGGGCGATAAGTGCCTGAATTGCTTGACTCCACCAGCCCTCCAGCCTGGCATGGTGGCTGTGGTGTTCAAGCATGAGCATCCGACATTTGGTCAAATGCAGCCGGCTCAACCTCTGATGCCCAAGCAGCAGCAATTCTTCCGGTATATTGACGACAGAGAGCTCCAGATGTATCGCCTTGCACTTGGCATCCTGGGACAGAAGCTTGGCAATCAGGCAGATGCATTCCAGACTGCTCAACAGATCATGGGTAGCGACCCCAAGGCTGTCTTCAACCTTCAGAAAGACTTCTCCGCCGGTTCTGGCGGCCATCAGCGCCAGGTCCCTGGCCTAGAGTCTCAGGGCAAACTGAGCGACCTGGACTCGAAGATGTTGACCTATCTCGAATTCATCGACCTTGACGACAACCCGCGGCCTCCGAAGTATAACTCGCGCTGCACGACCGGGCAAACTCTACTTCATTTCGCCTCATCCTTGGGCTTGACTCGTTTCGTAGCTGGACTCCTCGCCCGAGGGGCGAACCCGGACGTGCAGGACAATACCGGAAACACGCCTATGCATCTGGCCGCCTTACATGGCCATGCGCATATTGTCAACAGGCTGCGTTTGGCTGGTGCGGACGTCAACGCTCGCAGCATCAGGGGATTCACTCCGGCTGATTTGGCCACCACACTTCCTGCCCACCAGGCTGCACTGATTCCTGCTCGGCACAACCGCTCCCGTAGCGTTGGGTCGGTAAGCTCGTTGCGACGCAGGCATAGCAGTTCCGCTTCCCTTCACTCTCTCTGGGAGTCGTCTTCTGTGTCAGGATCGCTCGATCCGGCGACCTACGACTCCGATGACGATGAGGATGATTCAGAGGACCAAGTGGACTTTACTATATCTCGGCGGTCGAGCGTTCACCAGGATGTGCCTGGTCCGCTACCCTCGCCTGAGCAGGCAACTGCGGCCCAAGAGGCACGGCCGTTCTCCCCCCCGGCAGCTTTGGTGGTTTGGCGGAACCAGCTTCAGGCTCAAATAAATCAATTCCAGCAGAGCGTCGCGAATGCCTTCCCGAATCTTCCTGCTCTGCCGCCAATGCCTGCTTTGCCCGATTACCAGGCTCATCCGATGATGCGCCGTATTACGAATCTTGTTCCTCATCGACCAACCACATCCTGGTCTTCGAAAGACGGCTGGTGGGACCTCTTGACGGGAAATTCCGCGCCCAGTGCGACTGAGCCGCCTTCTTACGAGGAGCTGTACCCAGGCCAAGATCGCCAGGAGGAGGAAGAGGCATCGCATGTAAAGAAGGCAACATTGCTAAGGGCGGCAGCTGAGGCGGCCGTAGATCAGCATTTCGAGTTACAGGCCAGCACTTCTGTGGCCGAATCTAGCAAACAGGACAACGATGACATCAAAGACATTCGAATCGGCTCCAAATTGATTTCCCGCGAGCAGCAGAAGCATCTCAGAGAGCAGCAAGCTCGCAGGATGAAGGGTTTGGGTAGCGATCGGAATCTCTACTTCATTTGGGTGAGTATCCTCGGTAATCCTTTTTTCGCATTTTTCTGCGCCATTACTAACTGGTCTTAGCTTCCTCTTCTGCTTCTGGTTATCTGCGCATGGGTGCGAAGTTACGTTCCAGGCATCTGGCAAGGTGCATCAGACGTCTATGGATTTGTGAAGACGCGCTATATGCGGGGCGCGCTGGACGTTGACTCTTAGACCTTGGCGTTTTTCTTTTTTTTTTCCTTTTCTTTTTCCAATCATCTTCCTCGAATCCCTTTGAGCCAGGGCGTTGTTTGCGGGCGGGCGGACTATGGACATGTCTTTCCTTCTTTCCTTTCGACTTTCTTTTTTTGCCGATACTTTTGCATCATGACGGGATATGACAGCTCCTCCTTTGCCTTATTCTTCCTCTCTCTTATACCTGACGTTTTGTATGTAATTTGAGCCCAATAAGATGTACAGATGTACCTTTGTAATGGGATCTTCCAGCCCCGTGATATGGGACGAAAATAGACTTACGTGTGCTCAGTATCTTCAAGGCAATTTTTTTTTCTAGTTACAGCTGGCGCTAATAGAATGCTAGCGAGTGGTCTCTTTGTCATCTAAAATGCGAGGGCCATAGTATATTCTCCATATAAACAATGCCAAGAGATGTACCTATTATGCGGAGTTGCTCGACCGCCTTCCCGCCAAAGGAACAGACACCTGGAGAATTGTCTCCTGAATGAGCATACACCGGTACTAACGTACCTCTCTTGCCGCTTATTGTTGAAATTGTCCTCTGAAGCGGAATGTCACTGAGGACCCTTGTGTCACGTCCCGAATAGCGCTCGGGAAATATGGAGACTTCATCACAGGCAGGCTCGAGCAGTGTCACCGGTATGTCGGGACGAGCAACCCTCCGCCGCAGTTGACGACGCACTTTTGACTGACCAAGTTACATTATCGATGTCCTACAGTCGAGTATACCGACCCATGGGGACTATTTCCCCTCGTTCAACCCGTCATCGAAGATAAGCTCCCGCTCAAGAACCTCCACTGGAAATCGCCCACCCGCCCCGTTCGATCCATCGAGTCGCTCCGCATCGGCTTCGTTCCGGCCCAGCTTGAGACAGACGAGCGCAAGCAATCGAGCGATACCTCTAGGAGTGCCCCGGTACCTCACCGGCGCCATCAGATCCCTGGTCTGCGCCAAACACCGTACTTGAAAATCTACCTCCTCCGCTGCGATGACAACGACACCTACAAAGCAACCGCTCGCAAGGCCCTGCGGGACTGGATCAAGGCCCACGCATCGACGCCGCAGGCCGGCGCCTCGGCAGCGAGCAATCAGGAGAAGCATGATGCTTTTGAGTGGTTGATCGTGCACGTGGTGCAAGACGGCGACGGCACGGAGAAAGCCGCGCCGGCATCGAAATGGGGCCGGAGCACCACGACCGTCCTCGAGAAGATCAAAGCGGATTTTAATGCGTCGTCCAAGTCGGCTGTTGACCGGGTGGCGCAGTTGCGTTTGGCCCGGCCAGGGAGCACGCAGCGGCCGGCTGAGCTGGCGGATCAGGTGGAGGACTTTGTGGAGAAGATGAAGAATGCCATTCTGTCCTCTTTTGATCTCCGCGTCGCGCAGTATGAGGAGGATATCAAGGAGAAGGACTCGCAGCGGAGTCTGCCAGGTTGGAATTTCTGCACGTTCTTTATACTTAAGGAGGGGCTTGCGAGGGGCTTCGAGAATGTGGGTTTGTTCGAGGATGCGCTGGTCGGATACGATGAGCTCTCGGTGGGGTTGGATACGGCAGTCCACGAGCAGATTCAGGGCACCGGTGATCAGCATGGCAGTGCTTTCTTGACTGTCAGCAAGGACTGGCAGGAGAAAGCCAAGGCCGCTTTGGAGGAGGCGGGCTCGGCGCCCTCGGATGTAGATGACGACGAAAAGTCAGTCGCTGTTGGAGAAATTGACCCCAACGACTTTCCGCTTGATTCAAACCGAAAGCCTTACCGGGAAATGATTCTCGCCAGCGACATCTCGATATTCGATTTCCGTACATATGTATTTTCCCGGCAACTGACCTTGCTCCTGAGAGCCGCCAGAGCGCCGTCCTTGGTTGCGACGGAGATCGGCGCAAGCCAGAAAGGGAAGAAGGGCAAGAAACCTGAGGATTTGATGCTTCTCTCTGAGCTTTGTGACAGAGCCGCCGAATTTATCACCCTCGCCGCACGTACGCTGAGAGTTGACCTCGAATCTGGCTTGGCTGACGTGGATCATCCGTCCAAGACGGACCTCATAAACAACCTGGTGTCGTCATGGGCCTATGCTGCAGCAAGCCAGGTCTTGATTCAGACATACACATCGAAGCTCACATTGCCCGAGTCTTCCCTTCATGCTATGAGCAAGGCTGTGGAGGCCACCAGCACCCCAGAACCCAAGCCTGAGGTTCCCAGACGCTCTAGCTCATTGATATCACCTGCCACAACTCGTCCTGGGCGTTCTAACAGCCACGGCATTCCGCTCCCAGATACTCTTGCCAATGCCTCTCGGGCAGACCACGAATTACAGAAGCCTATACCCGCCTTTATCCCAAAGACCGGTTCCGAGCAATTAGCGAGTGGGAGAGGAGAACTCCTTTCACTGGCACGACGCCTTTTGGAAGAAATTGCTGGCAGATGTGGTTGGAACGAGAACTGGAAGGATCTGGGACTGCTCTTCGACAACCAAGGTCGAGGCGAGGACGAGATGACCGAAGTTTCCTTGGATGGCGAGACGGAAGAGAAGCCAGAAGAGAAGCGGAAAGGGGCGTCTCTGGTTTCGAATCCTCTTTTCGGAATCGATCTTCTTGAGCTAAGGACTGCTCTGCGATCGAGGAAGGCTTTCCGCTCTCATTACGAGCAGCTTACGGACTTGGTGTATCGTCACTATGTTATGGCGAACCGCACATATTCAGCCCAGACGGCTCTCGCCGACATGGCTCTTCTACGTTATCGACAGAATGATTACATCGCAGCTGCTTCATATTTCCACCAAGTCATCCCATTCTACGGGACCAAGCATTGGATTTTACTGGAAGGAATTATGCTCGAAATGTATGCGAGATGTCTCGAAGAACTGAAACGAAGCGAGGAGTACGTACGAACGATGCTGCGGCTTCTTGCCAAGTTCGCCGCGCACACGCACTCTAGCTTGACTGCGCGAGAGAAGACACTCGATGCTTCTTCCATCTTTACCGAGCAGAGCCCGGTTTCCCGGTACGTGGGCAAACTCTTTGAAGCCTCTGGCATGCTTCAAAAGGAAGTCTCAGCGCCTTTCGCCGACTTCTTTGCAGACTTGGACGTGAAACCCATTGTCGTTCATTACGATGACAAGGATGGGTTTCAGATGCAACTCAGCCTGCGGTTCTTGCTAGGAAAACGAATCGAGATTGATTCGATGAAGGTGCGGCTTGTCAGTGCGAGCGGGCCGCATAGCAATGAGCACTGGATAGAAACTTCCAATAAGGCGATTATCAAGTCGTCGCCCACAAAAATTCTTGTTGACTCTACGGTAAGCTTTCTTTGACCCCTCGAACTTCGTTACACACTCACTAAACTCATGAAAGGCTACTTTGCAAGGAAAATACTTTGTGGACCGCCTGGAAATGCGAGCTGGCAACATCCTGTTCACGCTAGCCGGCGGAAAGCATCCAGCCCTTCCTGTGGGCTTTAGGGAGGTGCTCGACGCTGAAGAGGTCGACGGTCGGCCCTACGTCTACTGCTTCCCACGACCCGAGGGATTGCAGGCCAAGATTACGTCTCCGCGTGTAGTCAATTTGGAGCAAATGCGGACGCTCGAGCTGGAGCTCTACAGCGGGCGCAATAACATCAAAACTTGCACGATTCGCGTACGGCCTGCTACTGCTGGTCTTCGACTGAGGGTAGCAGAGGCAGAGGTGGTGGAAGGAAGTATAACCATCTCCACAAATAGCGAGTCTGGAAACATTGGGATTGCGCAGTTGGGACCGCAGTCCATACTGCGGCTCCGTATCCCTTATACGGTCGAAGAGGTTCACCCGATGCTGTCTGCAAGGGCAGAGGTTTCTTACGAGACGGAGAGCGGCCGCTTCTCTTACAGTTCTCTTCATAACATTGTTTCCGCTCTGCCGATTAGCGTCAATGTGCAAGACGTCTTCAAAGACGAAGTTCTTTTCTCTCGATTTACCGTCGGCCCAGCGATGATGATTCCCCTTCGAATACTAAAATGCAGTATCCCCAGCTCCGACGTCTACGAGGTTCAGTCGCACGTGAAGGACTCGGTGGCAATGGACGTATTCCCAAAGCAGCCAGCGTCGTTATTATACAGAATCCAGCAGCGAAAGGATAGTGTTACTTCACCCAGTTCAAGACGCTCTCTCCGCCTAAGTGTCGAGTTTACTTGTGTGGACGATGAGTGCCTGGACGCAGTCGAAACGAGGTTCAAGAACAGTATTGCCGACAGCGATTTCCGCCAGTATACCACCTTGCTCACATCTCATATCGTGCAGGCATTCCGCACACAACTGTCAACTGCAGACATGGAAGTGATCGGGCTCATTCGCGAGATGGGGACGCTGTCATATGCGAATGTTGGATGGGATGGCCTACTCAGTGCACTTAAGGAGCCAGCTGACGGTTTGAAAGCGTGGCTCATGACATGGCACCAGGTGAGTGCACCTTCTATCTCATATGACTCGAAGTCAATTCGACTAACATCCAAACAGAACAATCCAATCATTTCGCTACCGAAGCAGCCAACCATACTCAGCCGTCGGATTGTGATCCCTGTTGACATACCCGAGATCCAAGTACTGCACACCGCAGAGTTGCGACTCAAGAATCTCGCGGATCAACCGAGACACGCGGCCGTTGGTCAGATGATTGCAGCCGAACTCGTTCTACGTCATACACGGCGATGGAGCTCGCCTGAGACTCGCGAGAACGCGGGGGGTCCTCTGGAGTTTTCCTACGAGATTCACGCGAACCCGGAATTGTGGCTCGTTGGAGGACGCAGACGGGGAAACTTTGTCGCATCCGAGAACGAAACAACAACGTTTGTCGTCATGCTGCTCCCCCAAAAAGCAGGCCATCTCCTCCTTCCGGGGCTGGAGATCAAAAGTTACGTCCCCGCGGCGCCACCCTCTACGGCGACGACGAGCCAACCAGGAAATCCAGCGGCGGGTGGTGCGCCATCCCTGCAGCGACGACAGATCCCGAGCGAGGTCGATTACCGCAATCATGGGGAGACGGTGTTAGTGCTCCCTGATCTACGGCAGACGACGGTCAGTCTCAGCCCGGCGGGGCAAGGGGGGCACGGCGGCTCGTGGCTGATAAATTCAGAGAGTCGAAATGAGGTACATGCATGATGATGTTAACGATGTTGTAACTGTGTAACCTAGCGATCCAAGCATGAAGATCAAGATCCGAGTGTATGTAGATAGACAAATGGCTGTGCACCCTGTTGAATATCCATAGTCGGGCCAAATTTGCAAAGGAAGAAAAATACACAAGCCACTGATGACTAAGCACCCGCTTTTAACTTAATTAATTATTTTATTTTTTTAACCTCTTCACAAGAAATTTTAGTTTTGGCTGTTGACAAGTCAGCCAGACCCACCGGGATCCTCCCAATCCTCAACAAAATGGCCCCGCCCCAACAGTTTACTGCAACGAACTTCCTCCGGATGATACTAGGAAGAATGAGAAATCAACCCCGAGATCTCTGGTGATTAGGGATTTGTTCCATCTGTTTCAGAGGTATCTATTCATTGCATAGTGATATTTCAATGCCAGCATTGAGACTCCCTAGTCATGAGAAATAGATATAGGGCGTGTCCCGGCATTCCTTACTGATTTGTTGAGCTTTCCGAGGGATCAACAGTATCTGAGAGTGATTTACTATGATACTACCATTGTAAGCAAGGTCCGAATCACATGCATTGCCTCGATCACGAATCTTACAGAGGTAGTTGAAAAGAAGAATGCACAGAGTAAACCCGACGCCTGCAATTGTAGACCACTAGCAAGACCCTAGAAGCTAGCCGCGCCTTAGTACGATCGCGATCAAACCTTGACCCGGTCTAGGCTGGTTATTATTGGTGAGACTGAGGATGATCTAGTATTGTAAATTAGGTAAGCCAGCGCTTGCATCGAGTAGGCTCGGTTCAATATGGAGGATACTACATTGTTTTCTAGCAGTAAGTCTAAGCAAGGGTAGGGTGTCCATGGCGTTTCATTCCCAGTCGGGTGAGGGTGAGGATGAGATTCACATGCTATTGAGATTGAGAGGGAAGGATGTCACGAAATTTTGACGTCTGGAGTTGGTATCAAACTTGGAGATGTTCTAGAAGGTCAAGGGGAAACAGATATGGATCTGTCCCGAATCATCTCCGACCCACGATTTTTAAGTCGCTGGCAGGTAAATAATGTCAAGTCCACTTGACTTCAAGGAGTCGAGTGTCAACACCTCCACAGGCAAAGCTGCAGACATTTTCTCCAGACCTAGGAGATTTGCATATGATACCTCGGAGCAGATCTCTCCTTCTTCCTGAGCTGGCCAAGGACAGTAAACTACTGTAAGGCGATGATACGAATTGGTGCATGCCAAGACTGTTGAGAAGCCAATTCCCTTTGGCCGGCAGCGGATCAATCACTATAATATGATTGGGGCTCGAAAAGGCGGTGAGGCGCCACCCCGGTATCTGTACCTGGTCCGGAATGCCACTAGTATTTTTTCACTTTTGCCCCATGTCTGCCACATGGTTATCTCTTATAGAATCAATCCATTTGCAAAATGTTCAGCTGTGGCTAAACATCGCTTACAGAAAATAAGGCGTAGTAGATAGACTAGAGAGTACTCCATACAGACTCTAGAATCTATTTAGCCAGAAACCAAGGCTCAAGCTCAAGGTGGCCTGACTCGGAAGCCCCCTATCGGACGCCGAAAATGCCTCAGTGTTGATTGGTGAGAAGGTAGATAGTAGACCAACAGTCTGTCATCTGTCGATGACTTACGTATCATGCGTAAGTTAGAGATCGCGACAAGTGGCGCATCCAAATCCCACCTGAGCTGCAGAACTCGCATGTTCATATGCAAACTGCAGTTCAAGAGCGAGCTGAACTCTTTGGAGCTACGGAGTACTCCTTACTACCAATCATGGCAAACGCTGCCTCGGGAGAATCGAAGCAAGAAAGATATTGGCCATTCTGGGGATCTGCACAGGACTGGACTTGACAGACTGATTGGCTGAGTGCTGATAAATGCGTCCAGTTGTGGTGGCTAGGTACTACCTTAAATGAGTAGATGATTATCACATTCTCAAATCCCAGGACGCCGTCTGAGGCGAATTGTACAGATTTCCAAAGAAAAGAAAATTCAGAATGAAAAATGTCAAAATCTGCATTGGTATTACAGGGGTTACCCGTGCTCAAAGAGCCCACCGGCCAATCATTTTTCAAGGATATGGTCAATGATTACCATGGTAGTCAATGCTCCCCATTGAGAATTACCCCCAATACCAACCAAACCCATGGAAGGACTCCATGGACGGCCTCCACCTAAATAGGCATTCCAAAATCCATCAGATCGTCAAATCATTGGGGACACGGCAATGGGCTGGTCTCGTTGTGTTCCTTTTTTTTTTTTTTTTGCCTTCTGAAATTTCGGTCCGTTTGTTTTTCTTTTGGCCTCTCATCCCTTGTGATCTTCTTTATTGCCCCCTCCTCTGTTCCTCCACTGTTGCTGGACTGCTCTCTTAACCGCCATCCTCCCTCCTCATTGTCTCCTTGTTGACCTCTTCTTGCTTTGTTCAAAGGAGTGCAGAGGAATTCGCGACCAGGTCATTCACCCCATCCTTCTGACATTGTCAGTCTTCCAGCACAAGGAGTCAGGAAGCTTCGAATTTGTGACCCTCCACCGAAGCAGATTCACTGGGTGAGTGGAAGCTTGAACTTGTCCCCCACATGGAAAAACTTCTTTGTCAAGCCGACGAGGGAAGTACTTTCGGCCCTTCCAAGGCTTGTCTTGACGTCTTCCATCATTTTCACCTTTCCATTGACTGGATATCGGCTACCGATCATATGCGGCTTTCTTGCATGGACTGACACAATTGACAGTACTCATCCGTCACCCCAACAAGTCTACACCAGCAGCTCGGCCGTGTCAAAATGTCCTCGACAGCTCTTCCCAAGCGCGTTGCGCTGCATCGCAACCCAACCACGGACTCCTCCGTCCCCAGCTCCGTCTCTCACTCTCCTTTCGACAGTCCTCGTCAGTCCCCTTCGTCGACGTCGCTCTCTTCAATGGCTTCGGATGCCGAGAACACCACCGGCAAGATGATCGACACCTATGGTAACGAGTTCAAAATTCCCGATTACACCATTAAGCAGATCCGGGATGCCATCCCAGCTCACTGCTACCAACGCTCGGCTGTCAAGAGTTTGTACTATGTCTTCCGGGACATGGCCATCCTTGCGACCGTCTTCTATGTCTTCCACAACTATGTCACTCCCGAGACCGTGCCCTCCATGCCGGCGCGCGTCGTTCTGTGGACTATTTATACCATCGTTCAGGGTCTGGTCGGTACTGGCCTTTGGGTTCTGGCACATGAATGCGGTCACCAAGCTTTCTCCCCTTCGAAGGTCTTGAACGACACTGTTGGATGGATCTGCCACTCTCTTCTGCTCGTCCCTTACTTCTCCTGGAAGATCTCCCACGGCAAGCACCACAAGGCCACCGGCAACATCGCCCGTGATATGGTCTTCGTACCCAAGACCAGGGAAGAATATGCCTCCCGCATCGGCCGCGCCGCTCATGAGCTCAGTGAATTGATGGAGGAGACCCCCATCCTGACCGCGAGCAACCTCATTCTCCAGCAACTGTTCGGATGGCCCATGTACCTCTTGACCAATGTCACCGGCCACAACAATCACGAGCGCCAGCCCGAGGGACGCGGCAAGGGCAAGCGGAACGGCTACTTTGGTGGTGTCAACCACTTCAACCCTTCTAGCCCCCTGTATGAGGCCAAGGATGCCAAGCTCATCGCCCTGAGCGATCTCGGTCTCTTCCTTGTGGGAAGCCTCCTCTACTATATCGGATCGACCTATGGCTGGCTCAACCTCCTTGTCTGGTACGGCATTCCTTACCTCTGGGTAAACCACTGGCTCGGTAAGATCCTTTCACCCACCTGTCGCAGTATGGAACATGTTTTTTGCTGACTTGGCAAATATAGTTGCCATCACTTTCCTCCAGCACACCGACCCTAGCCTTCCCCACTACCGGCCTGAGGCCTGGGATTTCACCCGTGGAGCTGCCGCTACGATTGACCGTGACTTCGGCTTTGTCGGTCGTCACATCTTCCACGGCATCATCGAGACCCACGTTCTTCACCACTATGTCAGCACTATCCCCTTCTACAACGCTGATGAGGCCAGCGAGGCCATCCAGAAGGTCATGGGTCCGCACTACCGCAGCGAGGCTCACACCGGCTGGACTGGTTTTTTCAAAGCCCTTTGGACCAGCGCTCGCACCTGCCAGTGGGTTGAGCCCACCGAGGGCGCCAAGGGCGAGAGCCAGCACGTTCTTTTCTACCGCAACATCAACGGCATCGGTGTCCCTCCTGCCAAGATTCCCGCCAAATAGAGTCTCTGTTTGTCAGCACATAGAACCTTATTCTTGTTTTCCTTCCCTTCTCTCTTTTTGAGTTCCTCGCTCCGTGGTGCTCTCGCAGGATCGAATCTGACCACGACACGGGGGCACTCGTCATATCATAGAGCGAATGTGAGTTGTCTAAATGAAAGGCGTATCTGGAAGGGGCAAAAACATTGTTATTCGTCGATGTTGACTCCTGCCCTTTAATCGTTATTAATCGGGGAGTCCTGTTTGGTTGCCATGTGCTCTAGATCATCTTAACCCTTTTTCATAGCATATATTCTGCTTTTCAGCGAAGACTTGTGGATGTCCATTTTGTCGTGTTCGAAGTTCGTCCCTTTAGACCAACAAGAGAATCCAGTGAATTCAGAAAGCAATCACCAGCTTCATCCCTTAGGACAATGAGTATGGGTAGAGGAGTCGTAAAGCTGGAGAAAACAAGGATTTCAAATGCGGGGACGCAGGATAGCTTCCGCCGCCCGCCGAAACTAGCACTAGTGGAGATATTACACAGCGACAGAGCAAGGCAGCCAAGTTCTTCATTGAAAATTATGGTACATTGATAAACCACTGTCCACCATATCCAGACATAGTCAGAGATGCTTAAGGGAATAGTTGCAGTCCATTAGCAGCCTCGTCGTTGATTGATTCTTGAATATCGTCTACTCCTGCCCTTCCACGCTCTTTAATCCTCCCTTCCAAATGGTATATTCAACCTCATCTTGGATGTAAACGGTGGAGTTCCCCTCCTTGTCGACGGTAGTTGTCACCACCCCGGCGGTCCAAGGCGCAAAGACCAGTTTCATGGTTCTTCGTAGCGTGCGAGGGGGGATTGTGTCTGGTGCTGCCGGTTGGAGCGTGGTCCGTCGGCTTACGGGCGGGATTTCCGAACTGGTTTCCAGGACGGGGTGATCGCTTCGGTGCTCCTTACTGTTTGGTGTGGGTCTGGTTCCTTCGTGTGGCTGTGAAGCTGAAGCCAACGGGTCTGTGCTCTTTGGCTCGAAAGCAGGATCGAGCATGGTCGTGATCTCTTCCTTCTTGAGGGCAATCCTACACGCTATCTGGGATGACCAGACAAACCCCAGCGCGGGTGTTTTGTGCGGGGGCTGTCGGGTGAGGTAGTATGGTGAAGGCGGCGCGGCAACCTTCGGCGTATCGCCCCAGCCGGTGAAGAATCGTTGCTGGTGGACTAGGCTCAGTAGCTCGTTGCGCACGGGGTTGCCGATCAGGTATGATCCGTCAAAGTCTTGCTGCTGCTGCTGCTCTGACTGGTTGTCATCCGCGACGAACGGCGAGGAGGGGAATGTTGGGGATGAGGATGGCGGTACGATCGTGATGTGAGGTGATAGCTCGGCATTTCCGGACTCCGGAGGCCTGGATCGGGCAGCGGGAAGGGGTGACGCGACGGCTGACTCGCGGTGTAGGGGGGTCGTCTGTTGTTGTTGTGTTGATACGGGCGAGGATGAGACGATAGTATGTCCGTATGCGGCAGCGCGCCGCAATGCTGGGTTACTCTCGAGAGGATCGAAGCGGTCCGAGACTTGATTTGCGACAACAATTGCGATATTCTTTGCGACGGCTAGGTTGCGCAGCATCTGGCCCAGTCTTGCCAGTTCCCCGGACCGTGTAGACAGACCCAGGACGTTGTGAGATGTATGTTCTGCTCTGTAATTGGAAGTTATCGAGTCGACGACCACGAGGCCAACATCGTAGCGGGTAATCGCAACTGGCAACTGGTAGTTGAGGATATGATCCTGGGTTTCCAGGTCCATCGCGTTGATGGAGTGGATGTTTTCCAGTGTCGGGGCGCGGTCTTTCGGGAGGGTCGAGAGGTAAGGATGATACTCGAGGAGCTGCGACAGCCGCGATGTCGCCAGCGGGGCCTCCGTTGAGATGTAGATTGCGCGTTTTCCGAGACCTCGAGGTTCTGGAAGTTGCACCGCTAGAAGGAGACTGAGGAGAAATTGCGTCTTGCCGCTCCCACTACATCCTCGCACAGTCAGAAATAGCAAACAAGACGTATACCGTCCGGTAACTCACCTTTCTCCAGTCACTTCGGTCAAATAGCCAGTCGGCAGTCCACCATTGAGCAGCTCATCCAACACGGGATCCAAAGTGCTGATCGCATTCCATCGCGACAAATCTAGCTTGGTCGATGGACCAGGGATGAGAGGCTTTTCGATGTCATTGCTGGAGCTCGGCTCGACAGCATCATCACTCTCACAAGCCTCTTCAAATCCAACATCTTTGTGCAGCGCCTTGAGAACTTGAGTGGTTAGCTGGCGAAGGTCTGCGGGGGGAACGTGAGCGCGTTTCGCGATTTCGAGATTATCGAGGGTGATGAGATCGACGATGGTGATTTTGTTTCTCTCGAGAGGGGGTATAATATGCGCATATGGTCGTGTTTTAAAGCCCGGTAGGACCGATAGCAGATCCATAAGCGTTACTGAGTCAAGAGAGCAGAAGATCACAACGCGTTGTGAGCGAGCGATGAGCAATTGTGGATGTTGCGCTGACAAGTCAGCGACCAATCAGATTCTCCGGATTTACCTCTATAGTATGCCACTGGACGACAACAACTGAGTACAGTATTCTGTAGAGTTTTGTTCATCTCTGCTATTCCGTGACTCTCACAGTTTACTACGAGGTAATGAGCTGTCTCTGTCTGTCGAGCCACCTTGAAGAGCAGATGCAGGACCATCAAATCTGTACGATAGATCCTCCTCCCTCCAAAACTCCTTAATGCTCGTCCAATATTTCTTCTCATCCTCCAGCATCAGTGCACAATGCGGGCTGTCTCGAAACATAACCCCATTAGCTTGGTATCCCTGCTCTTGGGCCGTCTCCATGTGGGACAGCACATCGCGCCAGTCGACCATGGTATCCGCCTGCGAGCACATGTACAGCCTTCGCACATGGCGCCCCAACACCCCTTCGTCATTCAGTTGATGCCGCAGATCATTGACGGAGCTCATAAGCCCCATGTTCTGGATACTGGTGATCGTCCCCACGGTCGTGTACAACACACCCCTGCCAACAAGCTGGACCAACTTACCCCCCTGAGGAAGAGATAGAACAGCGGCATTGTATGATCGGCGGAAATCGGCCTGCCCAGGACAGCAATCGAAGATAACGCCTCTTAGGGGGAGACGGTGCAACGCGTCTGGACCCGAATTCGCCTTCATGGAGAGCGCCAACTGAATGGCCGTGTTGCATCCTCCGTTGGAGAAGACATGTAGCAGAGCATCGTTCTTGCGTTCAGTTGTATTGCCGGCTTTCTGAGAGAAAATGTGGCAGATGGCGTCACGAGCTGGTTTCAATCGCGCACGCAGCACGCTAAAAGGACGAATGGTGATATCTGGTAGTGTAGTGGTAATAAGAAGAATGGATGACGTTGGAAAAAGGAATCGATATTGCGCCACGTATTTATTGATGCGTCGAGGACTTGCTCCTCCGAGCCAGGTGCATAGGATGATGAGTGAAGGATCGGATTTGGATTCATTGCTCTTGTAGGCAGACCCCTCATGGAGATAGACATCCTGCCCGATCTTCTGCAGAGGCTCGAGCTCCTTCATGTCCTTCATCTCTGGAGCAGCTGTTGGCTCGCCAGCGGCAATATATATACCAGAAGTACAACTGATGCAGCTGCTTTTTACAAAGACGGCCAAAGCCTTAGGATGTCAATACCATGGCAGAGCCGGACGGTCACATATTCTGGCTGATGAGACACAATTTGTCCCATCCGACCCTGATAATATCGCTTTGGGGTAAGCTGGCGGCCCCCACAGGCAAACACCATTCTCTGGAGTACACAGCCGATATCCCCGCACGCACTAGATACTGCTTAGAAATCCGACCTTGTGTACTTGCAGACACCCAATTTTTTCTGCTTTCCATTCCCTGTACATACCTGGAAAAGCTGTCATATACTGAAAATGCCCGGTCAACTGCGCAAAATCCTAGTCCTGGGGTCGACTGGCGTCATTGGCCGATACATTATTAAAGCTATTGCAAGCGCTGCTCCAACTTCTTTCGACCGCGTCGCCATCTTCACCTCTCAGAACACAGTCAATACAAAGAGAGAACAGATCCAATGGCTCAAAGACCATGGAGTCGAAATCATTGTCGGCGACCTGAACGATGACGCGCGCGTTCGCGAAGCTTATCAAGGTACACTGCTGTTCCCCACACTAACCACATTTCTGTCTGACACATATCCCAGGATTCGACACAATCGTAAGCTGCCTAGGGCGGAACATGATTGCCGCTCAGATCAACCTCATCCGAATCGCTGAATCCTGCCCAAACGTCATTCGATTCTTCCCGTCTGAGTATGGCACCGACATCGAGTACGGGCCGCAGTCGGCGCACGAGAAGCCGCACCAGTTCAAGCTGCAGGTGCGAAAATTCATCCGAGAGGAGGTGAAGAGACTCGAACACACCTACCTTGTTACGGGCCCGTACGCGGACCTCTACCTGGAGAATGCAAGCAATTGCCCCTGCGCGGGGACGTTCGATGTCGCGAACAAGAAAGCTGTTCTACTGGGGGATGGAAATGAACGGATAAGCCTCACAACTATGAGCGAGTACGTCGCATGCAGTTATTCCTCATGCAATCCGAGCTAACGATCCCCAGCGTGGGCAAACTCCTCGTCGCGGCGATCATTAACAACGAGGCCTCCCGTAACCAGGCGCTCAAAGTCAACTCCTTTACCACAACGCCGAACGAGATTCTAGCCGAGTTTGAGCGGCAGACTCAGGCCAAGTGGGAGCGGGAGTATACGCCGCTGCCGGAGCTGAAGCAGCTGGAGCAGGAGCTTTGGGAGGCGAATAATCCGCTGGCGGTTGTGGCTACCTTGCGCAGGATCTGGACGGAGGGCGGCACTCTTTACGAGACGACAGATAATGGGAAGATCCATGCGCCGGATATGGATACTCTGGAAACAGCTGTTGCGCGGGTCATTGAAGCTCAGAGTGCTTGAGAAATACGC